AGGAGAAGAAGAAGGAGAAGGAGGAGGAGAAGAAGAAAAAGAAGAAAGAGGAGAAGGAGGAGAAGAAGAAGAAGAAGAAGGAGGAGAAGAAGAAGGAGGAGGTAGATCGGGTAGCTTTAAGGGCTTTTATTTTGAAACCCGTGGTCCGGATGTCAGCGGGTCAGTGTGTGTAGCTTGTCGCGGGGATCGAACCCTCAGTCGCTCCAGGTCGAAGCTCCCGTTGGAAGTAACCGGAGAGAAGCGTCCTGCCGTCGGATCAACTCACTGGAAAACAGCGCGGTACCGCTCGGACACTCTGCCGGAGAACACGCACCGGGAGCGGGTTTAGATCCGAGCCGGAGCCCGGAGGAGAGCAGGAGGGGAAAGCGGGTCAGAGGATCACTGATCGATCCCTCAGTGTGTGTGTGTGAGCGTGCGTCTTCGCTTGGAAACACACACACACACACACACACACACACAGTCACAGGTTGCTAGCGGAGTTGACGCTAACCGAGCTAGCCACGTTAGCTCCCCGCGGTTAGCCGTGCTCTCCACCGTTTGTCCACCGGGACTAAAACCCCCACCGGAGCCCCGGAGCTCGAGGCACCAGAAGCGGCCGGACTCCCCCCACACAGCCTGCTCCACACACCGGGCCACGATGTGGTGTTTTTCGGGACGTGTATCCCGCTGGCCGGCTGCTAGCATCGGCTGACCGAGAGCCCGACGCCTGGTCCGCGGACATGGATTCTCCTCCCGGGTTGAATTCGTCTCCGGTTGTTTTTAAAGCTGGACTTCGCTCTCACGCGGGTTAAAGCTCCGGTCCTCCCCCCGAGCTCCGTCTCATTCTGTCGGAGGAGCATCGACCTAAAACCTGCCTGGATCGTTTTTATTTTTTCTGTTTTTTTAAGGAGGAGGAGGAGGTAAAAGAGGAAGACCAAAAAAAAAAAAAAAAAAAAAAAAAGTTTGGGAGAAGTTGAGGATTTTTTCCCCGAGCCTGTGGAAACATGGATGCGGGTATCGAGAAGGAATGCAGCGCCCTGGGAGGGCTCTTCCAGCTCATCATGACCGACATGAAGGTGAGGGAACCTCCAGAACATCCTTCAGTCCTCCGGAGACTCACTGCACCACATCCAGAGAAGACCCACTCATTCACCTCTTCTCACCTCTTCTCCAACTTTCCATTTCTTTGTAATCCACATATCAGATTTTTCATTTTTAGCTTCCTCTTGTAGAAAATGCAGAAAAACAGAAGCAATTTAAATAAAATCAACAGCAGCAAAAGAACGACTGACATTAACCTATTGATTTGATTTGATTTATAAAAAAGCTGATTTAATTCATATCATATCATCTTTTCTCTTCCACCTCTTCTCTGTCTTTATATCATATCATCTACCTCTTCTCTGTCTTTCCATTTCACAATAGTCGTGTCATATTTTATCTTTTAGTTTCCTCTCGTATAAAAACACACTGAACTTGATCTTTATCGTCGTTATCCATCATAGTTGGACATTAACATTTATATCTGCACACACAGAGTAAAATAAGGCATCAAAATATTCTTCATTGACTCGGGTACAAAACATGTGAAAACACAATAAATGCTAATTAAAGACAGCAGAAGCAGCAAATGAGTGATTTCACCAGGCAGCGTTTTAAATGAAGATAACCAGGTTGATTGGATTAAAAGAATAAAGTTTGTCCGGAGGCCTGAGTTGGCCGCTCCATTCATTCTCCATGATCGTCCTGCATTGCTTCACTTCCTCAAATATAACCCCGTGTCAGCGCGTCCTGTTGGTTGAGTAACAGATCTTTTGATAAAGGATTAGTTGTGTGAGTCATTCGGTTTCTCAAATGTTGTAATTTGTTGCTGGATTGTGAAACTCTTTGTTTTGGACTGATAGCTGAATTAGAACTCTTCATTTGGATGCACCATCTTGGGGATTGGGGAATTATGTCGACGACTCAAAGCGACTCAGTGGTCGATCTGCCTCTTTGGTCGGGTTGAGTCAAAGCACTAGAGAGATCACAACGTTTACGTGGAACTCAGCGGTCACATTCGTCCAATCCCCTGAAATTCAATCAAACTACCAGATTCACACCCTCCCAGATGCCAGTCGTCTAAATGTGTCAGACGTCGTTTTCGTCGACATCCATGTTCCATTTATTTTGGGGGAAATGGTTAAAATAATTGAAAAAAGTCTTATCTCCGTCCCGCATCCTTCCCTCGAGTTTCCTGGAAACCCGCTCACTTGTTTTTTGCGTAATCCTGCTAACAAACAAACCAACGGGTGAAAACGAACGTCCTCGTGTAAGAAAATGGTCGACTTCACAAAGGAAACGCAGAAACGGACTCGAGCTGAACATGCTTAAAAAAAAAAAGCCTTTTACATGTGTGTTATTAATGACTGTCTGTGAGACGCTGGTCTGATGTTGATTGGGTAATGAATGAGCAGAGGTTAAAACTGGAAGTGGGCCATGTGAGAGGGTGAGAGGCTGGATGGGGGAGGATTTCACCAGCTGTGGGCTGTTTGATGTTTGTTAAGCAGGCTGCCCTTTGCTGTCTGTCTGAGTTTCACTGCTCTCAGAGGGCCGCCGTTATCAGCCTCTATTTCCAACCCGACTCCAGCTCTGAAACAGCCGCAGCAAAGCCTCCGGAGCTGCTGGAGCGACACTGGTTGCGTAGCGGCTTTCAGTCCGGTTAGTCTTCTGCAGGGGACGTATGTTGAGAGCTCAAATATCCAAGTCAGTCGCTCCAGACACTTTCTGGAACTTTTCTTTTTTTTCTAAACGCTTCACAAAATGTGCATCGCCCCCTAAGTACAGCAGGCAAACATCCAGAAAACGGACCAGTGCTATTTGTCATCAAGCTCTTGAATCTCCTCGTCTTCGCCGGCGTCTCCTTCGTGTGTGGTTCCTCGTTTTCGTCCCGAGATATTTGTCTTCCTTCTGTTTCGTGACAGCTGTGTGTTTAGAAACGTCATCAACACGTCCACTCGCTGTGAACTTGACATGTTCCTGTTCCACTCTCACAAACGATTATCGGGATGTTTTACAAGTTGATCGCAGTAAAAGTTCTGGAAAATGCAACAAACCTTCCAGCGAACAAACAATGACGATGGTCTGCTGAAGAAAATCAATCTTAGTTTTTGTTTAATTGATATTTCAAAAGAGTGGTTAATGTATAATTGAGATTTATGTGTAAACGACTGTGTCATGAAACCAGAGACCAGGATTCATGGAGGATTATTGTGTAACTGTAAGAATCTTCTGATGAATCTCTGAATTCCTCGTAACCCTGCTCAGTTGTGAAATCCAGTTTCACAACTGAGCACTTCTACACTGCCCCAACCTGTGAACAGATTCCGCCTGTGAATATATTTAATCTGTAGGCGAGGGACAAGGTTTGGGGAAAGTCTTCTGGTTTCTGTTTCACGTCTGAGCAGCTTCCGTCGCCTGCAGGGAAACAGTTCGCGTGGCGAGAAAAAGAGGTGGAAACACGTCGACTGAAATACACTGGCTGAGGATTTTTAGAATTTATCTGCGTTCATGTGCAGAAAGCTTCTAACAGCGAGGATTCCAAATGTTATCTGGATCTCACGCTTTGTGTTTCATGTGGAGAATCGTTTGACGTGTGATAAAAGAAACCAGTTGGATTGTCAGAAGTGTTCGGCGATCAGAGGACTGATGCATCGTCTGTATACAACTGGAGTCCCAAAACATTAGGGAGGGTTTCTTTTTTTTTTTAGATGATAGCTGATGGGCTGTTAGAGCTAAACTGCATGTACCAGCGTCCAGATGGCAATTATGGAGAAGTGGAAGTGCAGTGGGTTCTGGATTTATCATGCCAGTGTTGCACTTCTGCTTTTTTGTGGTTAGATTTCTTGTTTTTGTAAAGTAGATGTGAGTTTTAGCTCAACCCCGATTGGAACGGACGGTGGAGTCACACGCTACCCGAGAGACGACGGGTTGGATCTGTGTGAGATGAAGGACGTGACTACGATGGTGCAGGTCTCGTTTTGTTCAAACGTTTTGGATGAAACGTGACGGGACATGCAGACATCCTGTGGTGAGAACAGTGAGCAGCACACGAGTCACTTCTGCTGTCAGATAACAAGGAAAGAGGGTGTGTGTGTGTGTGTGTGCGTGCGCATGCACACGTGTGCATCCTTGCATGGGGCAGATGGCAGGAGTGCCCCCATTGGTTCCGTGCCATGTTGGTAAACTACCAGGATATGATGCCACGAGCTCTGAATCAATCACTCACACACTCACTCATGTCTAATTAAGTAGAGTTGCTGTTCAGATGAATGTCTCCTCAGGACATCATGACACTCAGTCAGTGGACGTGACGCCACAGTGAGACTTAATGCAGATTACAGCTCATGTTGTGATTTATCGTTTAAAGAGGAACGATTTTATCATCAGATTGTCGTCCTGCAGAAGCTTCATGGGACCTTCAGAGTTCCACTGGACAGAGACAGACGACTTATTGATTTGTCTCAGGGCGGACATTATGAGCCATCGACCTTCCACGCTCCTCCCTCCCTCCCCTCCGCTCCATCCTTCCATCCTGACATGCTCAGTACATTCCTTCACTCTCTGTCATGCCCTCGCTCCCCCCCCCCCCCCTTCCATGTTTTCCAACTTTTTAGTTTCTCTTCAACGTGGTCTTCTTGTCATGGTCATCCCTCCTTCCTCCTTCCTCCTTCCTCCTCGGCTGTATGTTTCTCCAATAACTCCTCTCTCCTTTTTAGTTTTCCCTCCCTCCCCCCACCAGCACCAGTGTAATTCGCTGCTTCGCGAGGATTCGATTAGTGATTGAATATTACATTTCTTTTCCTCATTACAATATTGCAATACTATGTACTGAAGGTAAAGTCAAACTGAAAATGAGATGGCACGGCAGCTGTGTGTGTGTTTGTGTGTCTGTTTGTGTTGCTGAATAGTAAATGGCTCTTAGAAGTGAGTTGCAGACGTGCTCAGTTTCTACACCCACCACTGTAAGTAATGGTTTTGGCTTCATTACTGTGTTTTTTAATCAGACCTTTCTGTGTGATTAGGTGTGTGTGTGTGTGTGTGTGTGTGTGTGTGTGTGTGTGTGTGTGTGTGTGTGTGTGTGTGTGTTTAATAGGTAAGGGTACATACAGAAACACACCCTGCATCAGAAACCGTGATGTCATGGTTAATCACAGCACTGATATGCTTTATGGCTCCTGATAGTTGGGTGTGTGGGTGATTTCAGAGAGGTCCGTGCAGATGGGGAAATAGGAAGATTCAGGTGAATATAGGTGTGTTCGATACCCATAACTTGGTAAAACGTGTAACGCCTTAATGAGAATGCCTCGAAATAAACATACAACGTCGGCCATGTTATGCTTCACATGTTTGATAGTATCGCCGGTTGTATTTAGTTTTATGTGCCACGTAATCATAAAACGATATCTTATCATGTGTGGCAATAATCTAAAATGTTGAATAGTTGAACAAGTTTTGGAGCATGGCTGCAAATACATCAGCAGTATTTCACATCACCTACACGTTGATAAATTGATGTGCAAGTATAATATTGCTATAAATAAATATATTGTTTTAAAGTGTGTTAAAATGGTAAAAAGGTAATTATGACAAATAATCTCAGACGTAGTGAAAATATTGTGTATATAAAAACTTCTGAAATGGGTGATTTTGAGGGATTTTCACAAATTATACCTTTTCACATATGTAACCCTGTTGCTGTACACTGAGATTTTTATATATTTCTTTAAATTAAGTGGAAGAAAGCTGCCATACTTCACTACGTTTGAAGGGTTCTCTTACCTGACGTGTTGAGTCTTGGATTGAAGTTGGGAAAGGAGGGATGGATGGACATGAGTCAACGGGGAGCAGGAGGTGGTGAAGCATCAAGGATGAGTGGATTTCAATAGAGGGTGTGGATTTATAAAACACGGCTGCACTCGGAGATATCTCCACAGCGTTCTTGACATTGTGAGGCTTTTTTTCATTTGGAGATTTTATAACTTAATGTTTGGAAAAGTTTAAAGCTTTTTAAGGTAAAATTTTATTGGTGGAAGTT